TTGGTATTTTCTACAGAAAATCATGTCATCTGCAAATAAAACCAGAGCAAACCCACTACTGTCAATTCACTTCCAACTCATAGAGACCCTGTAGGACAGAGTAGAACTGTCCCAAAGGGTTTCCAAAGCTGTAAACTTTACAGAAGCAGAGTACCACATCTTTCTACACAGAGCAACTGGTGGGTTCAAACTGCAATAGCTTATTTCTTAGTTTCTAACTTGCATGCCCTTTGCTTCCTTTTCTTCTCTTATTATTGCACTGGCAGTACGGAGTTGAGAGCAGATATACTTCCATTATTCCAACTGTAAAGTACGCAGTCTTTCACCAATGGCTATGAAATTATCTATAGTTTTTTTTTTTTTTTTTTTGTAGACTTCCGTTTTTAGTTTAAGGAAATTTCCTTTTATTCCTGATTTGCTATGAGTTTTTATTGACAATGGGTGTCAAATTTTGTCAAATGCTTTTGTTTATCAATTCAGATAGTGTGGTTTTTCTCATTTTGACTGTTTATGTGGTAGATTACAAAGACTGAGTTTTAAATACCAGATCAGCCTTACATTCCTGGAACATACATTTAGTATGTAGTGAAATGATAATTTTTATATAGCCCATGATTCAATTTGCTAATATTTCCTTGAAGACATTTGCATTAGAGGATACAAACCTATCCAAAAGAACTTATTTTATACTTACTGTTAAGTATTAACTTGCTTAAGGTATAAAATTTAACCTGTAATTTCTCTTTATCATATGGTAACAACACACTAAATAGAAGTTCTAGAGTATTTTCCTCATTAACCCTTTCCTTATTTTCTCATTTCTACTAGAACCAACTAAAGCCTCTTTCATACATCCAATTTTATTGGAAGGTCAAGAAAGTGCCAAAGACATACAGTACTGCATTGTCAGTGAAGGCAAACATGGGTATATGGGTGGACAGATGGGTGGACAGGCTGAACTAGTAGGTATGTCTATGAAGTGGGGGGTATACCCAAGACCATGTATAGGGTTGGCAGACAATGGTCCTATAAGTTTATATGTATGATCTGAATTCCCAGGTGTATAGTAGAGCTGACAAGGGGCAAGGCTGTAGGCACTTCTTGGGCACAGCCAGCTACACAGAGGAACTGAGTAGTTGAACCTGTGGGCTCGGGACCATAGTCGCAGGGGACATCAAGCTCAATTGGCATAACATCCTACACAAAACATTGTTTCACCTCCTACTTTGGCAAGTAGCGACAAGGATCTTAAAAGCTTGCAAGCTGCCATCTAGATGCAACAATGGGTCTCTCCTCATCCAGAGCAAAGAAGAATGAGGAAAACCAAGAATTCATGGAAACAATTAGTCCTAGCGACTGGTACACCATCCTATCTGCAGCCTATACGACTATGAGACCAGAAGAAATAGATGGTGCCTGGCTACCACTGTCAACTACTTGGAAGGGGATCTATGTAGGAAATCCTGGATAGAGAGGGAGAACAATGTGGAACAAAACTCAAAATCATTTGGAAGAAAAATAAAAGAGGGGGACCAGCTTTGCTGGTCAAATAGAGCCTGGTGGAACCACTGACACTATGGCCCCTAGCTGTCCTTCAGGTCTAGAACTGAACCCACACCTGTGGCTTCCAGCCAAACAAAAGACAAGCATATGAGTTGAATATTTATCTGAGGTAGATATACTCCTTGGAGAGAACAATAATCATGGGAGAAAGAAGGGCTGCTTATGCACAGGAAGACAGCTCATGGGGCAGGAGTGCATGGAGGGATGGACACAGGGAAGAGGTAACTATCATGAGGAAGTGGGAGGGGAGATATCGCATTGTGGTAAATTGTGGTCAATGTCCTGAGACAAAGTGTATGTGAACTGCTGTATGGAAAGTGAATTTGCTCTGTAAATTTTCACCCAAATCACAATAAAATAAATAAAGTGTCAAAGATCCTCTGATATCTTATCCTAAGTGGCCAAAAGTGGGAAGAAATAAAATGCTATCACAGAACTGAGGACTTAAACTGGTCATGCTCAGCACCCTTTTCCACTGCAGTTCAACTACCCTTTGAAGTGTTCATGTAACTCAGTCCCTTGTCTCTATTGTTTTTTTCACCTAAGGCATCTCCAGAAGTGAGGAGGTTTCCTAATATTGGACCTGTAATTCTCCTTACCTAGGAAGAGTATAAGAGCTAATAAGAAACTCAATAGGAGTATTTACCCATTGGTTAACATCCCAAATTGCTCCTGGAAGCTCCTCCCTTTAATATACCTTGACCTTGGAAAAATCACTCAGAAGAAGCCTTGTGATTGATCTCATTACTCCAATGAATCAGAAAGCACTGTGAAGGAAGATATGGTTCCATATAAGATTCCTCTATAACTCAACTGGTAATTCAAATACTGGTAAGAGTGAAAATGCAATTTTTTAAAGTGAAATAATATAGTTAATATTTTTGTTTTAATTATTTAAGGTTTTCAAGGTAGTATCTCTACACAAGTAGATTGTCCAATCTTCCTTCTGAGGAGTGGCTGGTGGGTTTGAACTGCCAGGCTTATGGTTAGCAGTCAAATGCCTTAGGCACTATGCCACCAGGGCTCCTAATTAAATATTGGTGTTCTATAAACTAAACCAGTGAGTTCTGGTGGCGTAGTGCCTAAGGAATTTGCTAACCAAAAGGCTGGTGGTTCAAACCCACCAGCTAGGTGTTCCACAGAAGGAAGACAGGGCAATCTACTTCTGTAAAGATTTACCACCTCGGAAACCCAATGGGAGTCACCATGAGTCAGAATCAACTTGATGGCAGTGAGTTTGGTTTGTTTGTTTTTTTTTAATTACCGAAACCATTTCACTAAGCTCAACTCTTACCAGATCTTTCTTCTCGTTCCTTCTAAGTTAAAATCAGACCTTGTACTTTATTATAGGCCTAAAAGAACTCATCATTTTGTTATATAGCTGTAACTGAATAATTATGTTTTCATAATATTCCTATCCTAACTCATGCACATAAAATATTATATATTTTGGCCACTGTTATCCATAAGATTTTCTTTTCCAACTTAATAACTTAGTGTTAGGCTTTTATAGATGATACTAGTTTTGAAAAGTAGTATCCGACAGTGTTCGTGACTTCTTCCCAGTACACTAATAAAACAAAAATACTATTAATCTTACTACATATACTTCTTTTCCCCTAAAATTTGGTACAGCCATACTAAGCTTTGGATGTTATTTTCCTAGTCATTATTATTATTATTATTATTATAGGTATAGTGAATGCTTGGCACAACTTCAAAGTTTAAAGTGTGAATATGGTTTTATGTTGAAAATCAAGTTCTAAAGTACAAATTAGTAATGATTTTTTTTTAATCCAAAACTGGTTTTGTATATTTAAAGAGTGATATCTTCATATGTACAATCTCATCCTAGTAGTATCAAATAATGTAAGGTCAGATAACATTCACATAAAGAAAGAATCTTTATTATCACTAAGTTTATTTACTATATTAGTGTTTCCCAACCTTCAGCCATTTCAAAACAGCTGTTTTTTTCTATATCCACGTATCATTTATATTATTAGTATTTCGCTTTAAACTGACTTTTATCCTTAAACAATTTTCTTTAAAAACAAAAGTACATGTAACAACTGACACTACAGATTTACCTGATTTAAAAAAAAAAAAAAGTTAAAATAATATATCAATTAGCATCTGACTGCTAACTAGAAGGCTGGTGGTTCAAACCCACCAGCCACTCCTTGAAAGGAAGGTTGGACAATCTACTTCTGTAGTGATACCACCTTGGAAACCCAAGGAGGTGTTGCCGTGAGTCAGATCCAAGTAGACAGCAATGAGTTTGGTTTGGTGTTTTTTTTTTTGTATCATGTAATATAATCTCAAGTAATAATACCAAACCAAACTCACTGCTGTTGATTCTGATTCATGGCAATCTCATGTGTGTCAGAGTAGAAATGTAATGCACTTTATAGGGTTTTCAATGGCTGTAATCGATTGCTAGGTCTTTCTTCTGCAGTAATGCCAGGTGGATTCAAAGCACCAATCTTTTGGTAATAGTCGGGTGCAAACCATTTGTTTCAAGTACTAATAGTGACATGTATATGACCACTTCGAAATCCATTACCATAGATACAGAAAAATAGCCTTGGTGTACTTATCTGAAAAGAGATATCCAACTAGGTGATCGTATCAACACATACTGTCTATCTTAGCCAATGACTGACTCAATTACGGTGCACATTTACATTAAGAGGATAAACTTGAACATTTTAGTTATTATTCTTTTTCATTAAAAAAAAAGCTTAAATATTAAGACCAATTTCATGTGTAAAATACAAGATAACTGGACACGGTTGTTGTCAGGTGCTGTCACGTTGGTTCTGACTCACAACAATCCTATGTACAGCAGGATGAAACACTGCCTGGACCCGCCTCCCCACAACTGTTGCTACATTTGAGCCCACCGTTGTAGTCACTGTGTCAATCCATCTCATTGAGTCTTTCTTTCTCATTGGCCCTTTATGTTACCAAGCATGCTGTCCTCCAGGGGATAAGTCCCTCCTGATAACATGTCCAAAGTATATGAGATTAAGTCTTACCATGCTCCCTTCTAAGAAACATGCATATGAGGTGATGAGAAAGCTAGATGATGAATAAGGAAAATCAAAGAAGAGTAAGTAGATGCCTTTGAATTATGGCACTGGCAAAGAACTGGACATAAGATGGCATTATTTGCACTGAAGAGAATTCTTTCTTCCAATAACAACAAAAACTGATTTCAAGTTAAACTGAAAGAATTTTTAAATAAGAATAATCAGCATTATATGATAATGCATGTTTTAGAAAAATTTATTCTCAAGAAACTCTGAAAAACTACAGTCTTGCTATTTTTTAAAAGTTGAATAAAAATTCAAAAACAAATTTGTTGAAAACCATTTTTAGATATTACTTCATATTTTATTGTTAAATAGAAATTCAGTATTAAAGTTTGTTACCTTTGGTAATTCCCATTCTGATCGAGATCCATCTGCACTGTAGTAATATTGTCTACCTTGATCATCAACATGCTTGAGCCACTATAAAAACACAATAGGTATTATTTTTAATTTAAATAAAAGTGTTTTTAAGCTGATCAGAGAAATTAGATACGATGCTTATAGGTTTTATTTTTCTTGCTCAAGATGACAGTAGTCATGAACATTGAAAAAAAATTAACTTATACTAATAGACTTGTGGGAGCTCTGGTAGCATAGTGGCTAAAAGCACTTGACTGCTAACCAGAAGGCTGGTGGTTCAAACCCACCAGCCACTCCTCGGAAGGAAGGTTGGGCAATCCTACTTCCGTAGTGATACTGCCTCGGAAACCCAAGGAGGGGTCGCTATGAGTCAGGGCTGACTCGACGGCAAACAACAACAACAACAACAATAGACTTGTATGCAAAACTTGGTAAGAAAAAGTATACTCACTAGTAAAGGTGAGTTTATTTTCTCTCTCTTTAATCCAATGTCACAAATAGGGATTCAAGCAATACTTAACAATATTAACATCAAGAAAACATAACATATAGATACATAGACATACACTGTTCTGGACCACAGGTAAACTCAGCCACCCTGAAAGCAAGGTTGAGAAATTAACAAAAGGGGATCTTTTTCAATCATTAAGTATAAAGCTACAGAATAATTTATGTCTCGCTTTATACAAACCCTTAAGAATTCCTCCTTGTAACCAACTTATAATCAACACGTCTTACTCAATAGGATTTAAAAATAACAGTAACAACAGAACTTCATGCAACACAATACAGGGAATAAGAGGGGGAAAGACTAAATAAAGATTGCTAATGCAGACGTATGATCATGAATGTCAAATAGATGAAAACTACTATATTTTCTAGTGTCAAATAATTGAGGAAAGAGAGAGGGGAGGTAAAAGCCTATCCCTATTTACTCCCAAAGTTCTGTTCCCTAACTATCACAACCAATCAGATCTCCAGCAGATGATATCATACTAATATACACATAAAATTTCAATATTCATCTCCAAACTAGTTAAATAACCAAAAAATACTAGATGCATGATTTTTGTTTTACATAAATTCGGTTATAAAAGAAAAAGATGTATAGCCAGTGAGATAGTATATACTAACGGCACGCTAAGAAAACTATTCTCAAAAAACTATTCCCGAAGAAAAATGTAAAACAGTATGCTTATAAAAGAAGTATAAACAGATGACACTCAACAGAAAGTCTACCCTTACATGGTCTGTCTTGAATGGGCATCAACACCATAAAAATCACTATCATTGTAGGATCTTTAAACCATGAATCAGTTATACTGAGTTCGCATGTCAATTGGCATAATTATACAATTTCAGTGAAGGATATTTTTAGGAGTTTACTTAGTACTACTAAAACTTTAGTGCACAACTATTTTATAAGAGGATTCTGTCAAGAAATACCACATGAGGAAAAAAAAATGTACCTTTTCATTAGTATAGTCACTGGTATATAAGGTATGCCCACGTTCATCCAACTCTTCTGACCAACCCCTTGGAGGAGAACCACACTGACTATCTGACTGGCTGTAACAAATGCTGTGGTAGTTTTCTTCTGATGAAAGAAGCTACAAATAGTCAGAAACAAGGATTTTTCTTCTTTGAGTGTAAGCATTCAGCATTTGAAAATCTAAGAGATCAACTTTATTAGGCTCTAAGTACACTAAGATGCTTAAATATATTTATGTATTTAATTTTAAAATAAAAACTGGTATGTAACTGTACAACAGTAAGTGATTAAAATTAATAAGTTATTTTATCATATTAGTGTAACCCTAGAAAAATTAACCATAATAAAATTGAAAACAGTGTTTCCAGCCTAGAGAGAGACAAAATGCTGCCTTCACTTAATGCTGCTTTCCAGCTAACATCAGGTAAAAAATTGCAGGGGGTGTGTGTATGTGTACACACACCTAAATTTACGTAAACAGAGGAGTGAATGAGGGTGCTTGATTAGACTAAGTTCCTTGAAAACTCCACTCACCAACTTACCACAAACAGCTGACAAACAAGTGTCCAACAGATATTTCTTGAACTGTATTTGAGCAGAATGTGTAGGAAAAAATACTTTCTTTGTGGTACTACATTTCACATTCTAATTTATTGGTAAGCATTCCTAACTCATTTAACCATGTGCTTATTAAAGATTGTTGTAAGCTAAACTTCAAAACAAGAACAAGTAATATTAAGAAAATTCAAATACAATATAGAGTCAGATTAGAAATTGACTTTGGAAACAAAGAGAGTAAGTAACATAAACTCCAGACACATTTAAAAAGCAACTCAGAAGACTGTGGTAACAGAAATTACTACATTTTCTCAAAGAAGCATCATAGTATGACTAAATAGCACTTTGCTTACTGCACTTAAAATTTAATAAATATTTCTTAGGTTAACTTTCATGTGCAAATGATCCTCTCTATCATCTCCAGGTACAATTTTTTCTGCAATTAAATCTTAATCAGACCTTTTACCATCATAATTTGGTCTAAGACACTAAGATGGAAAGATTTTCAAGGCTGCAGAAGTAATTTAAAGATATAAATAGCCTAATACTGATATAATCACAAAACTAACATAGACAACTTGGCAGAAACACTGTACAAAGAACTACAAATGTTATTGCAAAGTAACATTTCTAAAAAATGGAAAATTTAACATCAGCTTTATTTCTATTTCATTAAGACCACTGAAAACGTAAGCTCATGTAGGTAAAACATAATACAAATCTTCAGAAAAGGAATTTAAAAGGGCAATCTGATTGGTAAAACCAATTTAAGAAACAATCAAAATAGCTGAATCTCTTTTTTCATAACTATGACTTTCTAGTTGACAAAATGCTCACCAAAATATGCAATTTTGGTGCATAAGATATTCCATTCTCTCTTGAAAAGAACCAGGAGTGGCTTTAGGATCTTGGTATTTAGCTAGATTTAATAGCAATGAAATCAAAATTACGATTATATTTAGCAAGCCCTCTCCAAATGTTAACAGACTTATCCTAAATAACTAGTTACTAGGTAACTAGAAACTTTGGGGTGTATGTACTCTGCATCCACTGCGAAATATGAGGGTACTACAGTGAACTCTTCATTTGCAGGAAAATGGCAGGTAGGTACTCCAACTGATCGTGCAGACAGAAATAGCTATAACTATATATTATATAAATTTTAAAAAAATAATAAATTCATCAAGAGCATGAGGTTAGTTACTAAATACCCAGAGGTCAAAAACTAAGTGAAAGCAAGGATCCAGAGAGGTAAGCAGAACAAAAAGACCAACTTTCTCCTTGAAGGCATCTGCCAAACCACCAACTAGAATTTCAGTTTTCAAGGCCAAGCAGAAGTGTTGGGGGACAGCACTCAGGATCATCAAAGATAGAGTTTAAAACACAACACAAAACTGGGACCCCAAAGAATTAAATCCACAGATTATGGGTGAATCAGAAATGTTATTCTACACCAGGGAAATCATAGGAATCTTCCTGATATTCAGTAACCATAATAAATTACTATCACCTGGATGGACTTTAAGAAAGTAAAGTTGAAAATTTTCTTTCAAAGGTTCTTGGGATACCAGTTTCCTAGGAAAACAAATTCTCTGAGTAAATCCACTCTTCATCCTAACATAAAAGAATTCCTGCATATGAATTTCTAAGAACATAAACTCACATTAAACACATAGGAGATATGGAAAACAAAATATACAATGAGAGTCAATAGAAAGACAAACATTATAATCAGACTCTCAAAAGACTTCGTATATTGGAATAATCAAAAACCAAATATAAAATAAGACTAAAAAGATATAACAAATAAATGGAATATATGATTCTCCACTGGAGTCTTCATCAGCAGGGAAAACACTAGAAAGATATTATTTGACAAGTTGAATATTAATTGTATATTAAATAATATTAATTTTTTACCAATATTAAATTTTTGACTGCTAAACTTATTTTGTTTTGCAATTAAATGTCCTTATACTTAAAGAATGGAGTATTACGTTGTCTGTTTCAAATGGTTCAGAAAAAATTTACACACATACACATATATGTATATATCTACATACATATGTGTGTGTGTGTGCATATACAAGGGGCTTAGATGGAGGAAGGAAGAAAGAAATAGAGCAAATGTGGCAAAATGTTATTAAGTGGTTAACCTAGATTTAGGGAAAATGGTATACAAACTGTACTATTGGTTTAAAACTTTTCAAAGTACAGATGGTGTCTCAGTTACCTAGTGCTGCTATAAGAGCACTGTAAGAACAAATGGGTGGCTTTAACACACAGAATTTATTTTCTCATAGTCTAGAAGACTAGAAGTCCAATTCAGGGTGCCAGCTCCAGTGGAATGCTTTCTCTCTCTGCTAGCTCTGGAGCAAAGTCCATGTCTCTTTTAGTTTCTAAACGGGGGTGATCTTCATGGGTCCTAGCATCTCTCATCCTCCATCTTTGCTTTTCCACTTGCTTGTTTAATCTCTCTTATTCTCAAAAGAGAACTGACTCAAGACACACCCTACACTAATCCTGTCTCATTAACATAACAAAGACAATCTATTCCAAGATGGAATTATAACCATAGGCACAGAGGTTAGGATTGAAAACACACTGTTTTGGTAGACAAAATGCGATCCCTGACAGACAGGAACAGTCTTGTGTGTTGTAGGATGTGCACCAGAAACTCTGGCCTCTAACCCATAGAAACAAGTACCACTTCCTAGCTGTGATGACCGAAACTGTCTCCAGACATTATCAAATGTACCCTGGAAGGCAAAAATGGCCCCAACTGAAAAACACTCTTCGAGAGTAACCACTAGGAGCTCTGGTGGTGTAATGCCTAAGGCATCTGACTGCTAACCAGAAGGCTGGCAGTTCAAACCCACCAGCCACTTCTCAGAAGGAAGATGGGGCAATATACTTCCAGAATGATATCACCTCAGAAACCCAAGGACGGATCACCATGAGTCTGATCTGACTCCACGGCACTAAGCTTGATTTTGGTTTAGAGTAACCAGTAAAATAATAAGCTGCTGAGTTAAGATGGAAAACTAAACACTTGTTCCCTCTCAAATCCCACTAAAATAAAGAAGTATGCTAAAATAAAGAACTTTGCTTAAGAAGACAAAAACCCACAAGAACAGAGAGAAGAGAAGAAACAAGAGTCACAAAACTCTGGAAGTTGAAAAGCAGGTGGACAAATAACTGAATTATGAGATTCAAGAAAGTAGAATCTAAAAAGCAAGGTTAGGTATGGGGTGGTAGAGAGGCTGCAGAGTTGAAAGCCAAAAGTTTACACAGCAGAATCCTCAAATGTCTCAGGAACTGACAGTATTAATCTTTCTGGGGGTGAGGGCAGGTGTACTAAAAGACTAAAATTCCAGAATCCCCTTCCTCCTATGTTGGTTATATATGCCCTGTGTAGTTTCTAAAGCAGCTGACTGCTAACCAGAAGCCTGATGGTTCAAACCCACCAGCCATTCCTCAGAAGGAAGATTGGGCAACCTACATCCGTAGAGATACGGCCTTGGAAACCCAAGAAGGGGTCGCTGTGAGTCAAAACCAACTGGGCAGCGGTGAGTTTGGCTTTGTTTGTTTGTTTCTACCCTAGAGAAAGTATAGAGATTTATTTTTTTTAAGAGTCAAAAACAGAAGGATTCTGGGTTTGGAAATAATAGGCACAACAGGTGGGCCAAGGGCAACAAACAGAAAGCAAGAAAATTAAGGGACTATATCCAAACTGAATGGTGACTACCAAGACCCTGGGAACTCCTCCTTTCTAGACAGAAGACTTGACTTGACAATTTTTATGGAGAATATAAGCTAGGCCTGGTGACACCTGGTTAAGCATCTGGCTACTAACTGAAAGATGGGCAGCTTGAACCCACTAGCTGTTCCAGGGGAGAAAGATGCAGCAGCCTACTTCTGTAAAGATTATAGACTTGAAAACTCTATGTGGCAGTTACACTCTGTCATACAGGGTCACTATGAGTTGGAATTGACTCAATGACAATGAGTTTATGGAGAATCTGACAAGTTTAAAAGGATAGACCTAAAGTTTCCAACATTCCCCAGTTAAGTAGCTGCTCTAGATGCCCATAAAATACAGTTCAAAATGCCTTGCAACTGTGAGATAAAATGATTTCTAACTAGAATTCTATACCCAGACAAATCATTAAATATGAAAGCAGAATACAGACATTTACACACACACACATACACACACAGTGTGATTTTTATCTCCCATGTCCAACCTTTCGAGAAGCTACTGGAATATGTGCCTTAGCTACTTTGGAAATATCTATTTTTATACAATTTGTGCAAAGACTAGTAATATAAGCCAAGACTTTGACAGACATATCACTTTTATCTATTTACTGAAAAAGCAAGCTAAGAAACAGCCTATTAAAAAAGTTCCTGTGTATATTAAAGAATTTAATTTCTTTAAGCTATTCTATAGTTTGCCCTTTTCCTAATATTCCAAAATTTTAAGATTTTATTTTATTATTAATGATACACAGCATGGTTTATTTTCAAATCTTTCTTTTATAATCCAAATAAAATTTTGCTAACATTTTTCTTAATTATAGCTACTCATAAACAATTTGTCTTACTATCCTCCCTCTCATTTTCGAATACTAAAAGTACAAGTTACTACCAACTATAAAATAGGACAAGGGAGGATTATTAATTACAAAAAGTTTTTAGCTTCTTTATCAGAAGCTACCTGACACTTCCAACTCTTGCCTGATGGGATCTCTGCTTTTATTGTACAAACTAGCTACTCTCTATAACAGCAGAATCTCCAGTCCACCAAACAGCAGATTTAACTTCATTACATCGATTCTATTCAAGCATCTCCTGTATATTCAAAGGTCCCAAAGCATATCTCACCGGGCATCTCTCCAGATTACTAAGAGATGGCCAATTCATTGCACCATCCTCTCCTCCAAGAGTATGGGGGAATGTGAAATTAGGGGTGGAAGTAAGAACAGTATGAAGACTTGTTTAGAAAAAATAATGATTTTAAAGTGAACTAGTAGACTTACAGAATGCTCCAAATGTAACAAAGCGTATTTATTATATCATAATTACTTCCCTTACATATAAATAAAAAGTGTTCCAGTGCCTCTGGCCAAAGAAAGAAGAAAATGTGAGAAGTAGCTTAGTAGTCATACCAAACCAATGGAGAAAAGTTTCTGTTTTAATCTTTTAAATAGTTTTACTTCCATTTATTTGGCTAGGTCACACTGTACAATAATGATACAATAATGATACACTGTACAAAAATGATTGAAGAAGAATCTAATATATACAGGAAAGCACTGGCACCAGGCAACTTTAATCAAATTAATTCTCAAACTAGTAAACACACTACAAGTTTAGCCACCAGCAAGAGATTAGAGGGTAATTAGCATTGATGTAAGTAAAGCTTGGAAAGGATATTTAGTTTCTCAGAGAAGGCAAACATTCTACCGTACTGATACTAAGAAACAAACCTATTCACTTCTTTTTGTCTTTAAACAATGAAATGAGAAAGTTTGCTGACTGTGACTGATTGATTCCTTAATTGTTCATACCTCTTGATCTCCTGAACTTTGGAAATCTCCTTTGATTATGCTTGCATCTCGAGTCCAACGGGGTGGTTTCCAAGTTCTTTCTTGTGTTCCTCTATTATAGTAATAATAACGCCCCGAAACATCTTTATGAGTTTCCCATTCTCCACTAATTTGAATTGCTGGGCTTCCAGGAAGAGGGGGAAGAGCAGACTGGGATATTTTCAGTTCCTGTAGATTAGCATATACAGGAGAATCTGGCCTTCCTTGATTTGGAGGTGTAGTTGCCTGTGGAAAAAAACATTTGAATATTCAAGTATAAGATGACATATAACATTTACAAACCAAAATAAAATGAAACACGAGGTTTATAAACACTCATACTAATTAATTTAAAAATATGCATATAAATGTATTCTAAGGAAGTAACAATGTAACAGTTTTAATATTCATAGTCTTAAGGGGGTGGGTGAGGACTTCTATCAGAATCCAAAATGTGCTTTATCCTTTTCCTTTACCCTGAAAGAATATTTGACTAGGAGTCAGGATCTAAATTTGGTACTAGCAAGTTGTGTGATGCTAGGTAAGACTGCCTCAACCTCATTTCTCTAAGACTGAATCCTCAAATCTCTTGAAATGAGAGAATTACACTAAATCATCAAGGTCTCTTTTGTCTCTAAAATTCTATGATTTTAGGTAATTTTTTAAAATAGAAAAAGTCAATGGGTAGATCACCACTGACTCAAAAAGTAATAAAAAAAAATTATGTTCTAAAACCCACCAGCCACTCCTCGGAAGGAAGGTTGGGCAATCCTACACTTCCGTAGTGATACCACCTCGGACACCCAAGGAGGGGTCGCTATGAGTCGGGGTGACTCGACGGCAAACAACAACAACAACAACAAAGATCTAATATGAAATCATGAATATAAGGCAAACATAAAAGCTTAAAAATACTTAAGCTAAGAATTTACAAGATTCTATTCCTTCTCTGAAAGAGATCGAATTTATACCCATTCCAAAGAAAGGTGATCCTACAGAATGTGGAAATTATTGAACAATATCATTAATATCACAAGTAAAATTTTGCTGGAGATAATCCAAAAATGGTTGCAGCAGTATATTGACAGGGAACTGACAGAAATTCAAGCCAGATTTAGAATGTGGAACAAGGAATATCATCATTGATGCCAGATGGATCGTGGCTAAGAACAAAGAATACCAGAAATATGTTTACCTTTATTTTACTGACTATGCAAAGGCATTCAACTGTGTGGATCATAACAAATTATGGATAATATTGCAAACAAAAGAATTCCAGAACATTTAACTGTACTCACGAAGAACCTGTACACAAACCAGGAGGCTGTCGTGCAAACAGAACAAGGGGATATTGCATGGTTTAAAATCAAGAAAAGGGATGATGGCAGACTAGGCAGAAAGTCTGCACAGACCCTCTTCACCAAAGAAAAGGGAAACCAATTAACACAGACCCAGAAGATAATCCTGGACCCCTGAGCCTTGAAGGGAAGGATATAGAACTGGAAGAAACCCCAACTAGCAGAAGAATTTGCATGGAAATACCAAGAAAGGAGACAGATGGAGCTGCGGTCTGGCAGCGATCCTGAGCAATCCTGACAGCACGGCACAGACAGCTTAGAGATTCCCAAGTGGTGGTAGGACCTAAGAATTAACCTAAAAATCAGTCCTGCTAGCCAGGGACTGCCCAGAGGACTGTTCTGGTGGCTGGAGAATAAACAGAGAAGGTGAAGAGAAAGGCAGGCTGAGCTGTGGCCTTTATCGGTCTGGAGGGCACTGCCATTTTGAATATTACAAGCAGCTTGAGGATTTTGGATATTTAAAGAGACAGCACTCTCCAAGAATCCAGGGGCTTAAGAAGAGGTTCTGCTTTCCAGCAACCCCAAGGACACTCGGGACCTGCAAGACTGAAAAGGTGCGACATTCCTCTTCTTACTCTTATACCCCACACCTGCTTGGTGATCACAGGTGCAGCCATCCCCCACTCACACCTACCTTCTAGGCCCACAGGAACTCCATCACAGTCTGTGTGCTCAGACGGAGCCTGGGTGCCCTGCCCTGTCCTCCACCTATTTTTTTTTTTTTCTTTTTCGCTTTTTTTCCTGGTGATTCATTTGCTTGTATTTGCCTTTTTTAAAACAACTATTATTATTAATACTTTTGTCCTTTTTACTATTATTTTTATTCTTTCCCTTACAGGTCCTACTTTTCAGCATTTTTTCTTTTCCCTGTTCCTGGTTGGATTATTTTTTTTCCCTAATTTTCCCCTTTTTTCTCGTGGTTAACCCTGTTCCTTGTTTTTCCTTTTGCATTTTTCCCATTTTTTTCGTCATTATCTTCCTTCTCTACCTTTTTCCTCTTAGTGCCCTATCCCCAGATATTGCAGGTTTTCTTGTTTTTTCTTCTTCTTTTTCCCATTTTTCTTTTTTTGGTTACTGCTCCTGTGTGATTCATTATATGGTGTGGTTTTTGTCCAGGTGCTTCTAGTTTTTTGATCGTTATTCAATTATAATTTTTGTCTAACTGACTGGGAGACAGAAACAGTCCCCATAAGACTCAACTACACTCACACCTCCTGCAACTTCACTTACTGAGCGAAAGCCACTACCTCCTTCTCCATCAAAGGGCCAATGATAAAAAACCACCAAGAAGAGCCTGAATCACCCTTGGCTGCTCTTCACAAACAGTTAACAGAGATCTAAATACAACAACGCCACGATGCCTCAGAGACAACAGATCATGACAGTCCACACAACGAAGCAAGTTAAAGTGGTAGAAACAGGGGAGCAGGATACAGACCCAGAACATATCCCTGAGGAAGAAGTAGCATTGGAACTCTCTGATAAGGAATTCAAAAGAATTATATTTAGGTATCTTCAAAGGATTGAGAGATAGAACAAAGAAAACACAGAAAAAAACCTGGAGGAATTTTGGAAAAAAATACAAGAACAAAATGACAAAATAAATGAAAAATTAGAAATGATTCTAAATCTACAGATAGAAATCCAGAAGATTAATACTAAATTGTCAGAAATA